GTTTGGGGGCCCCCCCAGCTGCAGCAGGTGGGTGGCGATGCCGAAGCCAGGCTCCGTGGGGGGGTCCTGGCCAGGGCTGGGACAGGGCGAGGCATCGGGCCGGGGCCGGGAGCCCTCGGTCGGGGGCTGGGCTGAGGCCGCCTGCGCTTTCATCTTGAGCAGACGCTCCACGGCCACCTGCAAGAGGGAAGCGCTGGGAGAGCGGGCAGGGGCAGCCAGGCCCTCCTCCCGGGGGGCGCTGAGCTCTTCCATCTCCCCTGGGCCCTCTTCCTCATGCTCCTGGGGGTTATGGTACCTCCTCCGAGCTGGGGGACTGGGCCCAGCCTGCCCTGCCCTCCCCCCTGGACCTCTTCCCTGAGTCTCCTCCCAGCTGGGGTGCGGGGAGAAGCAACTCACCAGGATGGCACCATAGACCTTGTGCCCGTCAGCCTTCACCTGGGCGTTGGAGACTGAGTAGTCATCCAGCACGGCTTGGAGGTTGGCCCAGTAGGTGGAGAGATGGGGGTACAGCACCCGCTCCACCGCCTGCGGAAGTGGACGCCGGGAGAGGCTGGGTACACCTCGCAGGGACCCAGTGGCAGGGGGTGGCCTCAGGGTCCCCCCCAGCCCCTCACCTTCCAGCCCAGTGCGTGCAGCCCCACGACAGCTCCATAGTGGGAGCAGAGCGGGCGCACAGGGTCAGCCAGCACCTTCTGCAGCGACAGCAGGATCTGGTGGTAGAGCCCACTCACCAGGTCGCCGTGTGTCCTAGCAGGGCAGAGAAGCAGCTGAAACTCCCTCCTGCCCCCCCACCCTTTCTCCCCAGGGGAAGGGGCTGTGTTGAGCCCAGATGGGAGACAGAGAAGACACGTGGGCTGGATATAACAGGCTGCGGCTGGCTCTGGAGGGCACCACAGGCGGGGTAGAACAGGCTGCAGCCAGCTCCAGGATGGGCACTGGTGACTGGGTATAACAGGCAGCTGGCTCTGGGGGGGCACCAGGGGCAGGGGCTGAGTAGAACGAGCTGCAGCCAGCTCTGGGTTGGGCACCAGTGGCTGGGGATAACAAGCTGCGGCTGGCTCTGGGGGGGCACCAGGGGCAGGGGCTGGGTAGAATAGGTTGGAGCCAGCTCTGGGATGGGCACCGGTGACTGAATATAACATGTTACAGCTGGCTCTGGAGGGGTGCGGACTATAACACGCAGCTGGCTCTAGGGAGCTGAGAGCTAGGTATAGCAGGCTGTGGCCAGCCCTGGGGGGTGCTGGGGGCTGGATATAACATGCAGCTGGCTCTGGGGGGCACCAGGGGCCAGGTACAGCAGACTGTAGCCAGCTCTGGGGGATCCCCATGCCCCCCCCC